TATATTTTAAAAAATCTCAAAGGAATTTATTCTTCTTCTGTTATCTTTATTCACTGTCCAGCTCTCAGACACACAGCAGGTATTTGGAAAGACAATGGCCTGAACAAGGTGTGCCCTGGTCTTTAAAATGGCATCACCACTCTTCAGGATTTTGGAGAGGTCCCTGACAGCTGACTTTCCAACTGCTAAGTATCTCCTGGGTCCTGAATATCCCATGCACTGCCACAAAAACAAACATATGTCATTAAAAGGGGGCGAAAGAGTGCTCCCTGAAGGCCAGGAAGATGAAGCTTCATCTTTCATACTTTGTACATGTAGCTAGGTGAGGCTATTCCTTGGAAAATGACATCGTACTTGGAAAGTCAGAGGTTCAACAAAGAGGAAAACCCCCAACAATATGGATTGACACTGACTTCAGCAATAGGTTCTAGTATCTCAAAGATGAAGAAGGTGGCACAGGACACGGCAAGTTTCAGGTTAGTTGTTCATGGGGTTGCTATGAGTCGTACTCAACTTGACATCACCTAACAACAACAACCACATACATCTCCTGATAGCATGGGTGTTGACCGTGGATTGAAGAAAGAGGAAATCATTGACAATTTAAATCTTTATTTCCGTCTATCATGATGTTGACTATTGGCCCAGTAGCGACATAGGCATAGAATCTGTTAAAGATTCTATAGGATAATCTCAGGTGGAGAGAGGATAAGGACTAATTTTTCCTGGTAGCTGATACCTTACAAACTACACCACTCCTCATCAACAAAGTTGAGAGAAAAAGAGTAAATCAGTAATAACAGATGAGATTATGCCATAGTGATTAAACTGGTTAGGGCTTAAAAGAACTGCTACAACGAAGAGTAATTACATGGTTTTTTTGTTTTTGGTGGTGGTGGTGGTGGTAAGTGCCATAGAGTCGCAGGCGACTCAGTGACCCTATGAAGGAGAGTCCTCAATGCTAATTACATGTTTTCCCAAATATAAGACTAGTTAGGAACAATGGTAAGAGTAGAAAGGATGAAAAGATCAAATGTTACAAAATAACCTTATAGTCTGACTCTAACACAAACATGAAAAGACTCTGATGTTCATTCTCAACAACTATTTATCCACAGCCTGATTTCTATCAGGTCCCAGAAGATGGGATTATATAGGTAACAGCATATGGAGGTCACTGCCACTAATATATTGGTAGTAATCTAATGGATATGATCATTATGTATAAAATTATCCATAAGTATCCAACTAATACGGGAACGGTGGGCATCTTGCTGATTAAAAATTTTGTTCACACTTTGACCCTCAAACAATGTTCTGGTTAAAACTGAAAATCCCTGTAAAAACTTGACTCTAAAAAACATTTAACTAATATACAGTTCACCAGAAGAAGCCTTATCAAGAACCTAAGTTGACTAATACTTATTTTGTAAGTTGTAGGTATTACCTACATACATTATTACATACATTACCTACTGCATTTTAAAATCTAGAAACTGCAATTTCATTACGAGATAAACACAAAAAGCGCAAGGTTTTTAAGTCTACTGACTTAGACGTTTTTACAAATTTGAATGATCCCTTTGCTGTACTAATCTTTCTTGAAATTAATAGGAACCCAACTTCACTCCTCAATCTAGCATACAATTCAACTTTTTCTTGCAATATCATTACTTCTCTGTTTCTTGAGATCACTTGCAAGTATCACTGGTGACACTCCTATTGATTGGTCCTACAGTGTTAGTGAATGTTTACTGTATTGCACCAAACGGGAGAAAAATTACGCGAGAACGCGAAGTTCACATTTCTCTGCGATAAGCAATGTATTGGGGACAACCTGCTACCAAGATGATAAACTTCCCAGGCGATAAAAAAACAGTAAATAAAAAAAACCAACCTAACTCTAGCATAAGGGCACTCACCTATCAAACTATTGGGCATTAGCTAGCACTTACTGAACTCCGACCATGTGTCAAGTCAAATTGACAAGAGTCAAAAACTTTGAAACTGGAACACCAAAATTAGAATGAACCCAGGTATTAGCAGTAAAGTGCACTGGGTGCATGTTTGTTGTTGTTGTTGTGTGGGTGCATGTTTAGTGTCAGCTTAATTTGGTCACTAGGTTCCAGGTTAGAACAAGTAAAGCAAATCTTGTAACATTTAAACAAATAAACAAGTAAAGCAAATCTTGTAACATTCCCTTGCAAAGCTCTAAACGTCCAATACCTGAATGCTTACTGGGTTTTTCAGGGGTAACTTGAGAGGATACAGGAACGCAACACTATTTACTGTAAGGGTTTTGCAATCCCCCATAAGAAGTCATTTGAATCACCTGATTAAAATTCTCTGGCAGATTCCCTCTCCGCTAATTAAAAAAAAAAAAAAAGATGAAAGAAAGGCGCTCAGAGCTTGCAAGATCCTATTCCTGACCCTATTTTAACCATCCTGGTCCTGCAGCGCGTCTACGACACACCCACGCGCGGGCGCCCTCGCAGGCTTCAAACCGAGCCAGGGCTGCGGGGAGGAGCCCACTGCGCCCCGGTACCGGTACCTGATGTTCCCTTTTGGTGGACGGCTCCTCCTTCACCTCTGTCACGAAAACACAAGGTATCTTCCGCTGGACCGAGCCCAGGCGCCTCATGGTGGGCCCGAAAGGCACTGCGGCCGAACAGCGCGCCCCTCAAACAGCAGCAAGTTCCCAGTAGTCAACAACAGCGGCCCGGACACGCGCGATCCGCGCCGAACCAAGAGGGGTGCTGCCCTCCCGTCGCACAGCTCCAGCCAAGAGGCGAGGACGCACGCCCGGAAGCGCGCGGCCGCGGTGCCTTCTGGGAGTTGTAGTGTTGGGCGTGCGGAGGCGCCGCTGCGTGCGCCGGCGCGTGGGACCCCCTGGTTCTGATAATCATGGAGAAACAAGAGTTTCGTTTCGGGCCTGTGTGTAGCTAACCACGCTTAGTAACTGACGATATTTTTGAAAATTAAATAATGCCAAGTTGTAAGTGATAAGTTACTTCAAATGGAGATTTAACGCCCTTCTGAAGAAACTCACGTTTACTGTCTGGTTACTGTTTGCACTGTTTTAGTGACTTGTTAGCGGAGCTCTATAGAAGTTTAGGAATACCTCGTTAAGAGAGGAAACTGACTTCCCACGGAAAACATTTACATTTAAAAGACATGGACCAAACCATGCTTTTTAAAAGTCACCGTTTGGTCTAGGCCTCATTGTATATAGGATAACGGAAAGCGATGCTGAAATCTTGTTCCAAAATGAACATAATCCAAAACCATGTGAATACCTGAAAGTAGATCTCTATCCCAAACTTTTTATAAGGAGTATTATTTTTATTGAATGTAAACTTACAACAGATCCAAGTAACGGGATGTAGTTATTGACAAAGCTAAATGATAGCTTTATTTAGCTTCCTAGTTCAAAAGAATGTTGGAGGGTAAATGATAACTAAAATATTGGATATCTTAACTTGTAACATTTGGTTATATTACCCTTTCTGACAGGCCTGGACCTAGGTCCAGTCTTTATTCCTATAATTTTCTTTACTGCAAATATCCCACTATCTTAACATTTTATTTAATTAGCCCTTGAAAAAATCTGACAGCTGCATCTCACCTGGAGGTAGCTAAATAATAAGGGGTTTTCAAAGAAAAGAAAAAAAAACCAAACTCCTGGAAAAGTTTACTTTGCTGCGTTCAGTGGGTGAGAGAGGAAGAGATTTGTGTTTCAGTCTCTACTTTCTCTTAAACTATCTTTCATTTTCTCGCAGGAAAACAAAACTGAAAAATAATAAAAGGAAAAAAACTCTGATGCTGAATATGATATACTGGGACCAGATACTTCTAGCCATTTTGTAGCCAACCATCATTCTTTGTTCTTCAAGAGGAATCCTAAAAAAACTACTTGATTGATGGGTCTCAAGGAGCCAATAAATAATTTCTACAACGATCAACAATTATTTCCCAAACTGCCACAGAATCTTCTCAGTTCAACATTCTGTTATTTCTGGGAAAGGTGCATCTTTCAAAACATTCCACTTGCACTTTAAATAGTAGCCGCAAGGGGACAATCTCCCTGGAGTAAGTTTCACAAGTGCCTGGAGAAGACCTCTGACTGAGACATTGAGGAGCCCAAATAAGGGGAAATCAAAAGGATCAAGTCGCACTTATAAACTGGACTGCTGCCCTACCAGTTACTGCTTCATCCCCTTAAACCTCAAGAGCCAACAAGGAGGTGCTATCAAACCTTGGTATGTAAAGTGCAGGATTACAAACAGCTACAAAGACTTTCCTCCCTGACTGAGGTGCCAATTTTCTGGCATACACTAAAGATGAAAGATAACTCAAGAGTCTGCTTTGGCCAAAACCTGTACTTCAAAATTTGCAGACCTACCCTAACTGTAGAGGCAAATTTCCCATCACTCCTCCTAACAGTGAGTAAGGACTGTCATGGCCAGGGTCAGTTATAGCTTTCCCTGAAAGACTAAATTGTATTTAATGACAGGAAGGAATAGAAAGGAACAAGGATTAGAGGGTGGGTGATTGCGAGGAAGAAAGAGGGAAGGAAGGAAATAGAAAAGGGGAACAAGAAAAGAAATTAGGCCTCCACGTATTTCAACTACCAGACATACAGTTCTGTTTGTTCACTCTTCTCTGCAGTGGCAAAGCTAGTGTTCAAGTTAGGTTTGGTCTGGTTGTGCTTTTTCTAACAGAATATAGCTATTCACACCTAACTAGTAGATAGTAGAGGTAAAAGTGGGGTTTTTTTTTTTAGCCTTTTCCTTTTCCTTGCAATAGATTTAATCATAATGTTACATGTAGTCTTACACCAATACTAGTCTATACCACAGTTATAGAAGGGCTTCAGGCCTTTTGTTCATAGGGTCACTATGAGTTGTACTCAACTTGACGAAAACCAACAACTATAATTCAGGGCAGTTACAAATAAGAGAGTTGGATAGGAATTTCTTTGAAGTTCAAAGACTATTTGAAAGTTTTGTACTGTTTATCCCAGTGCTTCAGATAGGTCTGTTGTAGTTCTTGAGTTAGAATAAAAGACAAAACTAGAATCATAGTTGTATACTTTTCTGTATATCTTTTCTGCTATTTTCAAGAGTTTCATCAGTTCTCTATTTTCTAGTCTCATTTAACTTCTAATACCATCACAGATTTTTTTAAATGTTATTATTTAGAATTATAGATCAATATTTTTCTGAAATTTACTTTATTTTATAGATCTTTGTTTTATAAAGTAGAAATTAATCCCAACTTGGAATGTTTTATTTACCCAGTTTGAGAATCCATATGTCTTCATCCGTGATGAATGTATTTATTAATAACTGTTAGGTTCTAATTATTTATATAAAGATACAAATATGAAGATCTCAATAAATGACAGTTGAAATGTCTTTTTATAATAATGAGTTGAATTCATTTTATTTTCAGCAAAGTCTCAGGATGTGTAAGCACCCTGGAAACTTTTTGCTATAGGGAAATGCTGCTTGTTTTTTTGTGGTTTTTTTTTTTCAAAGGATGTATGGTTATATTTACAAGATAGTCTAATTTATTTTTAGTGAACTATTAATAAATGGTGATCTGATTGTGATTTTTCCTAAAATCAGCAGAAAGCAGTAAGATAAATAATATTATTATCCTGAAATATGGATAACATATTTCCCTTTTACTTTAATATTTTAGTTTTGTTTACAATTTCAGTTTCTTAAATTCTAGAGTTTATAAAATAGCTATTTCATTTGGAAATATGTTACTTTTTAATTATTTAAATACAAATTAGTTAATATCATCCAAAGTTCAATCAAAAACAGACAAACTATGCTATTTTCTTTTTATAAGCCTCTTTTGAAAGCAGGATTGACATCGACTTTCTGAATCACAGACCTCTGGAAACTATGAACATAAAAAACAGCGATAGTTATAAAACAAGATTCAGGTCTTTTGTTCTTAGGGTTGCGATGAGTCGTACTCAATGGCTCTTAACAACACAACAACAACAACTTTTAGTTAATAGACTAGAAAACTGAGGTTAAGGGAAATACCATACACTAACTGAAAACCAGCTTACAGTTACATCTGAGGTCATCTGTGGTGAACAAACAATGCATTAGCTAACAGTGATGAAAATTCTGGAAGTTTGAGTTTGCGTGCTGACTAGCAACCACTTTCAACATTTCTGCATAGCTAGAGAAGGTATCTTCTAATTTTATTTAAAAATTACCTAATGCGTAATATACTGTCAACAGGAGATCAGTTTTAAAGGATTATTACTGATACCCTGAAAGACTGTGTATATAGAAATCTTCCTCCCTCAACCCCCATCCCTTACACACTGATTTATCTTGTATTTTAATTCCTACAAATTCTTATATATACTTGTATACAAATATATCTATATACACATTGGATTAGCAGCAAGAGAGTTGAAAATGGCAGAAGGGAATGACTGCTATTTCTTTTATAATTCCACATGCATAAAGGTAAATATGATATAATTTACAGTACTTTATTTGCTTACACTTTTTAGTAAAATAGAGAATAGCTGTAATTGTATTGCTGAATCAAAATTAACTAATTTCTGAACATATTTTAAGTACTTAAACTCTGAAGTATAAGTGTATTTATTTTTGACCTATTGAATTTCTCTAAGGAAAATCTTGGATAATGGAAGTTTTTGATTTGTATAAAACTATCAATGAACAACTATAACAACATCCTTATCTATGTCAGTTAAATGTCTAAGGCTTTTTAATTGGCATGTGTCACTTTTGTCTGTATAATGGTTCTTTGAGATGTAAAATATCTAACATTATATGGCAGTTTGGGGGCTAATATGATTCCAACCAAATAAATTCAGATTGTTGAGTTCAGGTCACTATCAAATTTAGTTTAATAAATCTAATTGATTACCTGTTTGAAATTCATTAACCTAATTTCTGACTTTTTAACCTGTCAGAAGTCTAAGAAACACCAATATTTGAAGGCATGGAAAAAGGAAAATAAATAATAAAAAACAAATAAGCTATTAATTAAAGTTTATAAAGTAGGGGGGAAAGTATTGACATAACCCAAGTATTAGGATTAATGAAATCAAATAAATATAGAAACTCCTTGATTGGAGTTTTCTACTTATGGTAGAATGGAGCCAATGAAAAAAAACACTCTATGCCTAGTTTAAAATTTTTCATCTTTGCTAGGATACCTGAATAATTTAACAGACAGTTTAAGTAATGTATTAACTTTGTCAACATAGGTAAATAGTTCAGTTACAGGTATTTGAATACAGGTTTTTCTGGCTACAAATCCACTGACCACAACTCACAGATCCATTTAAAAGGAGGAGTGAAGGGAACTCGGTGGCCTAATGGCAAGAAGCTGCGTTGTAATCTCAAAGGCACACAATTTGAATCCACCAGATGCTCTGCTGGAGAAGGAGGGCCAATCTCCTCCTGTGCCAGTTAGACATGATTTGATGGCACAAAACAATAACAACAAAAATAAAAGGAAGAGTGATACTGAAGACATGAGTGGAAAAAAGGAGTAAACAATAAGAAACAATAGTGGAACGTATCAAAAGACAAAATTTAATGGGATATTTTTGTTATATGTTACCCACCT